CTTTGTTTAGCTTAAGTCTTCCGTTGAGTCAAGTAAGCCAGGCCAAGGGTTCGCTTGGGGCCAGCAATGGTCTTCGGGTGCCGGCCATGTCCAGGGTGTAGGCTCGGGGCGTGACAATACAAATATTGCTTTTCCTCTGTGATCAAAATCTTCATGGTTACATTGACGGGTCTATTCTGTGCCCACCGTCAACAATCAGCAACACTGTTGGTGCTAAGCAAAACCCATATTACACACATTGGATACAACAATATCAGTTGATCTGTTGTCGTCTTATATCATCCCTCTCCGAAGAAACGCTTCCAATAATCATTGGAATGAATACAGCGGAGGAGGTCTGGGATCCACTTGCATCTACTCTATCTTCACTATCTAATACATGAGTTCTCAATCTCCATATACAACGTTAAAACAAGATGATCTCTCTGTCACGCAATACTTACACAAGATGAAACTCATTTCGAATGAACTTTCTGCTGCCGGACAACCAGTTATTCTTACAGACCTATGTGTGTGTATATATATATATCTATATATATATCTTTAAAGGATTGTGATCAGAATTTAAAGACATCGTTACTACCTTATCAACCGTTCCGTGCCAGTAACTTTCATAGAACTTCATAGTTTATTGCTAAATCACGAGTTCATTAATGACTCATCCTTCTCAGCCTCTTCTTTATCATTTTCTACCCTTTTGGAATCTATGAACCAACCAGCAGCCATATTAGCCATAAAAGTACTCCAAATGACCGTAATGTCAACCCCAATTCCAATCGAGGTAGAGATCGTTCATATCGTGGCCGCGGTGGATGTGGAGGACGTTCATATCAACGAACTTTCTCCAATAACAATCAACAATGGAACTCCAATAAATCCCATCCTAGATGTCAAATTTTCAATGGTGGCAATCATCTTTCCAACACTTGCTATCAACGCTAAAACAACTCATCATATCCTACTGCATACCTAGCTCATCAATTCCCCCCACCCGCCAACATTCAATGGTGTCCAGATGCCGGCGCTACCCATCACTGTTGAGATATATACTATTAATCATATATTTAGATGTAATATTTATTATAAAATAATTATTTATTCAGTTTTAATAGATCATATATTCGTTTATGGTGTTTGTTTACTTATATAGTAGATGGTTTAGTGTATAGAGTTTTAGCTTATACACGACGAATAAACCATCAGTTCTTATAAGTATAATTTTTTTGTTCACAATCTAAGATGGAAATTGGGCATCCTTTCGGTACGATTGTAGCACAAAATTATATAATAATTTATCTTAATTATGGCAACGGTATAGTTTCAAGTAGAGATAGTTATTTTAGACTGACTGACAAAAGCATATTCTCTAAACTATTAAATGTACTTATATTCTTAATTCTGATATAACTATTATGATATGTACATGTTAATTATCGTTTTGATTTTTCAAAAGGTGAGATTCTAAGATGGGTCAATATGTCTGGTAGATTGGATGATAATAATATATATTGGTGAAATAATAAGTTAGTTGATGGAATCCATGTCTCAAAATATAGACTGATGATATGCCTTTTTGAGAAGTTTATAAGTTTTCATCGTGTCAAATCTTGCAAGTGGATTTATGAATCCGACACATGAAATAAGTTCAGCAGTGCTCTAAAGGAAATTAATCGTTGAATTAAATTCGTCACTAATATAATTTATTGGTTAGTATTTGTAATCTTAACATGAGAAATTACATAAGGGTCTGTTTGGAAGGATACTCTGGTAGTTGAATTTGGTGTAATTGATGTAATTACATTGTCTTGTCCTGTTTGGAAGGACAGGTAATTACTTGGTCAGCAGGTAATTGGTATAATTGGCAGGGGGGTAATTACACTCTACAATTCACAGGCAGAGGTTGTGAATTGCAGGTAATTACATGGTGTAATTACCACCTGATTACTTTTTAATTTCTTTTTTTTAATTTCTATATTTATTTTTTTGATTTAATTTTTTTTACTTCTATTATATTAATTTCTTTTTTTTTTATTATTATTCTAAAAATTTGTAAAAGTTTATTTTTTATTTTATATTATTATATTTCATTTTCTTCTTGTTCTCAACCTTACTTTACGTGATTCTATGTAATTTTCTCGTATTATCTATTTCTTTATGCCATGCTTATTTTCTCATTAGCATAATTTTATTAGTATTCTTATTTTTAAATTAAAATAGAATGTACTGTTAAGTAAGGTTATAGACTTACGTTTTCTTTATTAAGAAGAAATAAAAATAAATCATATTTATTGCTATGTTGAAATTTGTTATAAGAATATTATGTTAAATTTTTTGTTTTGAATTTATAACCTATGTTATATTTTCAGTGTCATTTGTTTTAGTAATATTGAATTTATATTGCACGTCATTCTTTAATTAGACTTGATAGATTATATTTTTGTCAAACATTTAATAATTTATTACATTTTATTTTTATATTATTCTTTTTATCAAACATGCATTTCACGATGTTCGTAGAAACTTCATACTTTTAGTTGTTACGATCAATTCAATTGAAATATATTAATTTGAAAAAATATAAATCAATTATTTTTTCATAATATTAGTTAAAGAAAATATGTTTATTAATTAATATAATTTCAAAAAAGAATATATATCTTAAATATTTAATTTAATGTCATTTATAAAGTTTCTTATTTGTCTAGTATAAATTTTAAATAATTAATTTTTATTTTTAAAATTTATTATAATTTTATGATTGCAATTGTGCATCAAAACAGAACATTTGTAATTACACTGTGACATCCAAACAGGGCATGTGTAATTACACTATGGCAACCGAACAAGTAAGTGTAATTACTAGACAGTGTAATTACTAGGCTGGTAATTACTACCCTAGTAATTACACCACTTCCAATTACCAAGTGGCTTTCCAAACATACCCTAAGTGTTCAATGAGAAATTTTGAAATATAAATAGAGGAGTGCAATTATGAATTTCTAGTGGAATGATTTGTAATTTATTATGGTAAAAATAATTTAAATTAATTATTTGAAATTATTTCTATAATAGGAAGCCTCAACAATTAATTTCTTGGTCCCTACAATACCCACATTTAACTAGAACTCAGAATCCTATTTCTAAAGGAAAAATTGGAGACAAGCGTTAGTTTTCTTTTAAAAAGAAAACAAGCATGTATTTTTCGGTTGATGAAAAACGTGTCTCTTGGTTCTCCTTTTTGGACCGGGAATAAATCTCTATAATTTGTGATTCTTCTGACCCTAAAAAGAGATAAGTTTTCTATACAATGCTTTCCTACCCAAGTATTGAGAGAGTTCAGATGTGAACCCGGGATCACTATAGAAGACCACAAAGTTGTTGTCTATCTTGTCGATTCACTTGAAGGTCTCCTCACGCTTCAAGAGATAATTCTTGAATTAAATTTCAACAAGTTTATGTATTCTAGCATGATTATATGTGTTCAAGCATAAACATTATTGGTTATCTATTATTCATGTAAGCAGTATAATTATGGTATGCTTCCGTTGTGCATATAGTTTTCCAACAATTGGCATCAAAAGTGTTGCTTTCATCTAAATAGATAAGCAAATAAAAAAAATATATTAATTTTGCCTTGTGTCGGACCATTACCGTGGTAGATTGCAAGTTACAAAGTGGGTTAACTTCTTTTTATTTTTTGATATGCTATATGCATATTGCAAAAATTTTCCAATCTTGTCAATATTGTTCATGATTGGTAATTGATTAACGTTTCAAGCACACCTCATCCGATTCTAGGTGCAAATGATCGTTAAGCAGTATAAAACCCAACGAAGAGTTGAGGTCGAACCCACAGGGAGCGGTACTTGTTCAAATTCAGTTATGAAGTACAAATGTGGTCTAAATTGTTATAGGAATAGAAATTGTCGAAAAGAACAAATAAACAAGTCAAAGGGGGTGACAACGAATGTCAGATGGGGGGGGGGGTTGGTTTGCAATTATCAGGTACAACGCAATCAACCAATAATGAAATAACAATATAGAGAGGAATTCTCGGGATGTGATCGGTTATAGGCAAATTTTGCTAATTGGGTAATTGAATCTACTAATAAATAGCTAAATATCAGTGGGTAAGCTGGGCTATGATTGAAATAGCTTTCTCTCGAACAACTACTTCGATTCAAATGATTTCTCTTGAACATCAACAAGCTCAACAAATAAGAACAACCCACAACTTTAATACACCTCTCTCTCGCAAGATGGGTAAGATTTGGTTTAGGATTCACTCTTTCGGGCAAAATATCAACCCAATACCTACAAACCATTAATCAACAGCTTTGGTTCAAAAACCTCTTTCTCAAGCAAGTTAAGAACTCAAAGTTAGAACTACATTTGTAACTATAATTCATAGATTAAAACACAACTAATTATTAAACCCACTTCAATATAGCATTTAAATTAGTAATAATCAATACCCATAAGCTAATTCAACCGATAATCAAATAATCACACCCTAAGAATTGGGATTTTAGCTAAACATCATAAAAAGATAAAAATGATTACCAACTAAGTTATCCATCAGCTGGGTATTAGTCTCCAAACCTTTACCATGTTTTCCAAAGGTTAAATTCAAAAACCCACTTGCAAATCTTCAAGTTTGAGCCTCCAAAAAGCTTCAAAGTATACAATGGAACTCTAAAACTCCTAAGAAAACTTTACTAAATGATAGCTAGATCCTCAATTTACAGTTCAAAATTCAATTTATAGTTGCCAAAATTTGGCCAGAAAAGTCATTAGGCGAGGTAAGTTGGGATCGCCGAGTGGTTTGGCGATCCACCATTTGCTCTCTTCCATCGCCATTTTGCATTGGTTCTTAGCATCCTCAAGTCCTGTAACTTTGGGCGATCCAATTTGTCATCGCGGAACCGATCAACGATTCGACGACTGCCCATTTCAGTCGCTGACTTAGTTTCTTTCCTCAGGGCTGGCACACTGGAACTTTAGCCGGTCTGAAGAGCCACTCGGCGGCTCACCGAGTGGTCTTGGTGATCACCAAAATTGCTCTTCTCCATGTCTTCAGCTTGTTTTGTTCCTTTTTGCATGTTATTGTCCTTGTTTTTCTCCTTATTCTACATACCTGAAAATCAAGGCTTTAACATCAGTTTATAGCATAAATTAGGCATTTGAGGACACTAAAACTATCAAAACAAAGCCCTAAATGAGTCTAAATCTCGGACTCATCAACACCCCCAACTTAAACTTTTGCTTGTCCTCAAGTAAAATTCAAGATCAGCAGTTCAATAAGGATGTCTCAAATAGTGTTGCATAAGACTTAACATAAATGCACACAACAAGGTTCAAATTACTCATACAATGATCAATTGTGCACTCAAAGATTCAAATTGTGATTCACCATTATCAAAGATGCTCAAGTTCACAATACTTGCTTCAAATGCAAGTTCAAGCTCAACAAAGGTAATCAAATTCCCTCACAACAAAGATGATTCAATCTTCACACAAAATTTCTCAACAATTTAAGTCCGGGAATCACATACAACTCTCACACTCACAAAGATGAACACATGCATGAATTTACCCATATGTTTGCCCTTATTTTCCAATCAGCATTCGTTTCAGCTCACTCAAGATCATAAAGGTCTTTTCAAGGCTTGTAATGGGGTTGAGTGTAAAAGTATGGTCATTTAGGCTTAATGGCTTCTACCTTTATGAAATATGGTCTGAACATCAATTTCCTCTTTTTTTTTAACATTTCAAACATGATTATAATCCACCCCATTATTCAACTTCATATGAACCAACGGATACCTCATTTTTTTGCAATTTTCACTACATTATTTAATTCACAACTTTTTCGGTCTTTTTCTTTTCTTTCTTCTTTTTCATTCCCTTCTTTTTTTTTCTTTTTTTTACATGAAAGGGTTCCATCTTTTTCAAAGCAATCACACAAAAGGGGCATTTCTCACAATTCTTGACTTTCTTTCTCTTTTCACCACGTCCCCAACTTAGACTTTTGGCCTAAGTTGGTTATTTAAGCAAATCATACTTCATGAATATTATGGGTGAATAGATAAAGAGAAGTCACAATTTCTCAAGTTTCTTCCAAGAAAAAGGGTAAGTCTCAAAAGGTGTCAAGAAAGGTTCACACATCTCAAAAGGTTGGCCACAAAAGAGGTATATTGTCAAGTTGGTTCACTCTTCAAAATTCTTGCCTAGGATCATTTCAGGTACTTGCATCACTCAATCAAGTCATCGGTATTGACCACAACCAACACTCAAATTTGCACAAGAACAACCACAATCACACACAAAAGAGGTGGCAAAAATATTTAAATTAGGTTCAAAACCATTTTTATTCAAAACAATGGGCCACAAGCTAAAACATCAATAACACAATTCATCAACCAAGATATATATATATATATATATATATATATATATATATATATATATATATATAAACCAAATAAGCCCAATATTCACAAAACAATCACAAGAGGTAGGTATAGAAATACTTCACCCCACCCAACAAAAATAAGCAGTTGTCCTCAAATGCAACTAAAACAGAAACAAAGTGTAAAAAGATACAAAGAGAGAGGGGAAAAATCATCCTGCCAGGCTAAGCCTTGGGTGAAGTCTGCATCTCAGCCACTCCATATGTTTGGCATCAGTGCCCGGTGTCTCTCAACCTTGGCTTCACTGGAGCCTGCCATGGACGTATCCCTAAAGGAGGCCCGTCTAGCTGTGTCGAACATAGCACCCTCTAAATCGTCCAACTCCTCATTAAAAACCTCATCTCACACCTCAAGCTGGTCCTCATCTGTCTCGGCTTCGAACTCAGCAGTAGCAATATCATCCCTAGTATCATCTCCAATAGTAGACGGTGGCACTTCAGCATAGGTTGGATGTTCTAGAACATCTACACTCTGGTCATCTGAGATCTCCGCCATCCCAAATAGCAAAGTAAAGTTTGTGGACTTCAGATGGTCCATATCCTTCCTCAGCTCCGAAACATCAGTTTTCAAAACTGTCACCGCATCAGTAGCACCCTGCCCTTTCTCACAAACCTTTATTGTCGATGTGAGGGCTTCAATAGACGCCTTGAGAGGTGTCAGTGCAATAGTGATAACTCTCTCAATCATCCTGGGAACCTCGGCCTCTAGCCGGAAAGCACGCACATCAGTAGAATGGGCTAGGTGCCCCATGGCCGGGGTGATCGGGGGCCTGGAGGTAGTAGTACCATCAGTAGATCTAGGAGGTGGGGGAGCAACAGAAGGACCAGGGGTATCGGAAGGAGCGGATCAAGAAGTACCTGAAGTCCCAGTGGTCGGAGTAGGCATAATTGCCGCTGCAAGTAGTGAATGAATATCAACCTCTGGGATGTGTCCACCAGAGCTGCTCTTCTTCTGTGAGCCTCATCTCTCGTGTATTCGGCCTCTATGTGCCGGATGTCGGTAGAAGAGGTAGGCGTGATATCTAAATCCCTTTTCTCATCTCGAGGAATACCAACCCAATGACATAATTCTGTGATCAATACTGGGAATGGAATGGACGTTTGGCATTGCTTGGCCCTCATGGCCATCAATAGCTAAATATCAGTGGGTAAGCGGGGCTTTGATTGAAATAGCTTTCTCTCGAACAACTACTTCAATTCAAATGATTTCTCTCGAACATCAACAAACTTAACAAATAAGAACAACCCACAACTTTAATACACCTTCTCTCTCGAGCAAGATTCTTTAAAGTCGAACCCACATCAATCCAATACCTACAAACCATAAATCAAAAACTTTGGTTCAAAAACCCCTTCCTCAAGCAAGTTAAGAACTCAAAGTTAAAACTGCATTTGCAAGTACAATTCATAGAAAAAACACAGCTAATGATTAAACCCACTTCAATATAGCATTTAAATTAGTAATAATCAATACCCATAAGCTAATTCAACCCATAATCAAATAATCACACTCCAAGAATTGGGGTTTTAGCTAAACATTATAAAAATATAAAAATGATTACCAACTAAATTATCCATCAGCTGGTTAATAGAACCCATCGACGATTCGCCGACTGCCCATTTCCATTGCCGACTTGGTTTCTTCCCTCAGGGCTGGCACACTGGAACATTAGGCGATCGGAAGAGCCACTCGGTGGCTCACCAAGTGGTCTTGGCGATCACTCAGATTTCTCTTCTCCATGTCTTCATCTTGTTTTGTTCATTTTTGCTTGTTAGTGTCCTTGGTTTGCTCCTTAGTCCACATACCTTAAAATCAAGGCTTTGACATTAATTTATTGCATAAATTAGGCATTTGAGGACACTAAAACTATCAAAACAAAGCCCTAAACGAGTCCCAATCTCAGACTCATCATTAATTTAATAAGAAAGTGATGTTGCATGTGTTGGCGGTGATAAGATTCTTGTAGGGTGTCATCATTTTTCATAGTAAAATTGTGAATTGTGTCTTTTTTACGGCGTGATTAGCGCCTTAGATTTCAATAAAGTGAGGTATGATTTGACACATTTTGAACCTACACCCTGGATGTGGCCGACACTCGAGAACCATTTCTGGATCCAAGTGAACCCTTGGTCAGGCTCAACTCTCAACGGAAGACTTACTCAACAACATATGAACTCAAAAGTAAACTTTACTCAACTGTCTCAAAAAATTGACTCATAATATTTTAGAAATAAAACATTCGCTGGCCAAAAGAGGCATTCTAGTCTAGACCATAACAACTGAAATGAACCAGACTCATGAACTATTACTGTATATCTATCTATGATGCCTCTAATACTATGAAGGATGTCGGCACAAGACCCCCTATCATTCTAACAAATTGAAATAGATAAAGATAAATAAGGGATCCTCCAGAAGCAAGGAGGCTCACCAAACAACTCTGGAACTCGACTAGATCAACGAAGCACTGGTTGATGATCCTAGTTACTTGTATTTACATCATGAATCGATGCAGGACACATGGTGTCAGTACATGGAATGTACAAGCATGTAAGGGAAATATTAAACATAACCTGCAAGTTTGAACCTGATAAAAAAGAAACATAGTCACCTCGACTCTACTCAACTCAATGCAATATAAAACGACGATAAAAGTACAGTTTATATAAAACATTTAAACACTAGATAAAAACTCAATGTATCTAAAAGTAAAATAATAACTCAGTTTGTATATAAAGATACAAATAACTCTATTTGGAAGATTTTCTAATCGACAACCATCGCTATGAGGTATGTGATATACGATACCTTGTCGGTGTATAGAACTCTTCAACTAAGTGGATTCATTAAGCTATTCTTAAAAAAGAAATATGAAATCATCTAAAAAGTATGACCCTTTTCACCCACATTGGCTAATGGTTTATGAGGACTTTGAGTTATCTGAACTTGTCCCCATATCGGTGCTCAATACTAATCCCAAAATATAACTTAGCTCATATTTTTAAAAACATTTCCTCATCCTCAACTTTGAGATTATTAGGCAAAAGATTTCTCTTAAAAGAAATAGTACTCCAAACTCCTCATGAACTACTTTGGAAATCAGTGTATCCCCTCATTTTAAATGTAAAAACATTTACTATTGGGAATACTTAGTTCTCATAAATTCATTTTGAAAACTGAAACTCAACTCTCCTCATCCTCAAACTCAAGTACTAAAGTATTAAAACAAGTTTTAAAAAGATTGTAAAAGACTTCTCAAAATGACTCGAAAGAACTCTCAAGACTTTACTCTTAACTCTAACTTGAATTTGAATTATGAATTTAAGGGTTATGATTTATGTTGTGAATGATTTCTCGTTGTTTAGATGTAGTTTAGAGTAGTTAGAATCAATAGGGAGTAATGGTACACTTTAAAAGGACTTAGACGGAGCAAACAACGGAAAAAGGGTGGGGGCAGGCTACCCTGGCGCACTGCTCACGTGGGGTGCCAGCCCATAGACTCCAGAGGCTGGTTTCTGGCGCACTGTTGGAGTGCACCTCCCCAGCCTTTCCCCAAAACATTCTAACGAATTTTTCTTCTCGTTTTCTGACCCTAATTTATCTAGAATCGATTATTTTCCTCAAATTTTCCTTAGATTCAATTACCCAATATAAGTACACGAGAATCTACTCAAAAACAACCCTCAAACTCATACTTTTATCTCAAGAGCTCATCAAACCCATCCTAATTCAAGAACGAAAGCAACACTTCAAGAACACTTATCAAGAATTCATCAAGAACTCAAATATACTCAATATTATGGATGAATTTCTAATATGTAAATCATGATTGACGTGTGGGTGAACGAACCCATCACCATAAAAGCTTACATACCTCGATTTGGCGAAACAATTCATTGATTCGGAAGAAATCTTGATGTTTTCTTTTTCTCCTATTTTCCTCTTCTTGAACTCCTCTCAAAACCCTAAGCGTAATTTAGGATTGTAAAACTGACTCAAATCAGATTTGTCCCCAAAATAATACTAAAAACATTTTAAATTGATGGGGTAAGAAAAATACCAAAATACCTCTCACTAATTCGGGTAACTTTCCTTAACTGTACAAACTGACTTCAAATGGACATATCTCCCTCATATGAGCTCGAAACTTAGAAAACTCGGTTGAGTTGGAAAGAGGATTCCAAGACCTTTCATTTGATATCTTATGGGCCACTTAACTCATCCTGTACGAAAAGTTATGGTCGTTCGAAATTGACCCAAACTCACAACTCAAGCATAACTTGTAAAATTCTCAAATGGGCTCTTTCCAAATTAGTTCTTTTTATATTTAAGGCGGGATGTTACATGATTGATAAAAATCTATTATCAATAATTTAATATATTATTATATTAAAGGAAAAGGGTAAGAACTTGATGACCGTGTAAGGCTGGTTTCAATGTGGACCGTGCTTTTGGTTCCTAATTATCATTTCATGAAAGTTTTGGTTGCACGTGCTTCCCATTCCATTGTCCTTATAACTCTTACAAATTAGTCTTTCGATCTTTAAAATGTGTTTTCTTAGGATATAGTGGACATCATAAGGGTTGTTAATGCTTACATGTCCCTAGTGGGAGAATATATATATATCGACATGTGATTTTTGACAAGTTAACATTTTCCCTTTGCTAGTCCATCTTCCACTCCGAATAGAGCACCGACCTCTGGCTCTACTGTCATGACATTTTTTACAGTCATTTCTCCTAGTAATTTTTCTTCCCAACCCACTGATGCTCATGCTAATGATCGTTCCATAGTAGGTGTTGCTTCTCCAACTCCATCATTAATCTTGTCTAATCCTTCATCACCAAGTCCATCATCAAATTCACTGGTGTGTCTTTCGGTCCTGTTTGATTTGTCTCCCTCTTTCGTTCCTCCTATACTAACCATATTGTTGATCTTCCATCAGCTATTGATAAACCCATAATTCTCCATACTTCTCAACCATGCATTGACTGCTCAAACAACACCCTTTGTACCTCATCATATGGTAATCAGGCGTAAGACTAAATCTCAAACTCCACAAGCTCATGTTGCCACAAAATACCCTTTACCTCCATCTACCTTGACACATAAACCTACATGTTTTACTCAAGCCAAAAAAGATCTGAAATGGAGAAAGACTATGTAAGAAGAGTACAATGCTCTCCTGCAAAATGGTGCTTGGTCCCTTGTCACGTCTTTTGCGGCCATAAATGTTGTGGGATGCAAATGAATTTTTAAGTTGAAACTAAATCATGATGGCTCCACTGAGCGGTACATGGCTCATTTAGTGGAAAATGGATTTTTTCAAAAAGCTGGAGTGAACTAGCATGAAATATTTAGTCCGTTAGTGAAACCTACAACTATTTGCTTGTATCTGTCTTTAGCTTTGTCAAAAGGATGGTCCCTGCGACAACTTGATGTCAAAAATGCATTTATGCATGGTCAACTTCATGAAGAGGTATACATGTCTCACCTATGGTCACGGGACTTCAGTTGGGAGTTCACCATTTTCTTATTCGTCATTGTATTGCAGCTTGTTAGGAGCTCTTCAATATATAACCATCACATATCTAGATGTTTCGTATATATTGTCAACAAATTATGCCAATTGATGCATAAACATATGGAGTCTCATTTCCCTACCATGAAATGCTTGTTGCGCTATTTAAAGGCTACCATAGACCTCGGTTTGCAGTTGCATACAACTAGCTCCTTACCGCTTCAGGCT